GGAAAAGTACTTGTAAACATTTCCCCCCCAATTCATTATGGATTATTTCCCAATACTCTTTTACCCTTTTACAAGTCCACCCCATATGTTTCTTCTGCCTTCTTTTTCTAGAGGTGGGGAGTGAGAAAAATCAAATGTTCTTGGAGAAATTTCAGCTCAACTCTTGCTGCAGGTTAAGTGCTGCGGGAGAGAGAAGAGCACTTGAAAGAAGATGCGAAAGCAGTGCCATGAATTTTCTATTTTTAGCATTCAGTTTGCATTGGTTCATTTATATTTAAATTTGATGACAAGGTGGGCAGAGTGTTCTTGTGCTCATGTCCAGCTTGCAGGCTTCCCACAGGGACCTGGTCAGCCACTGTGAGGACAGGACATTAGTCTAGATGTGCCATTGTCAATTGCTGGATGTTAGTCTAGATGTGCCATTGTCAATTGCTGTTCATATCAAGTCATCATATCAAGTTATAGTTCCCTCCATTTCTACTATTTACAATTGAATGCCAATCATTATGTAGCCAAAACGGCAACACCCGTGCAGCTGACACCTCATGGGGGATATCAGCAGTCCTATGGGGAATCCCAAGATCTGCATGGGACGCAGGTGGCGCTGTGGTCTAAACCACTGAGCCTCTTGGGCTTGCCAGTCAGAAGGGCAGAGGTTTGAATCCCCATGACAGAATGAGCTCCTGTTGCTCTGTCTCAGCTCCTGCCAACCTAGCAGTTCGAAAGCACACCAGTGCAAGTAGATAAATAAATACTGCTGCGGCGGGAAGGTAAATGACATTTACGTGTGCTCTGGCACTCCTCACGGTCCTCCATGCACCAGTAGCAGTTTAGTCCTGCTGGCCACATGACCCGGAAAGCTGTCTGTAGACAAGCGCCAGCTCCCTAGTCCTGAATCGAGATGAGCGCTGCAACCCCATAGTCGCCTTTGACTGGACTTAACCATCCAGGTGTCTTTTACCTTTTTCTTACCCTGAGATCTGCAGAAGTACAAAAGCATTTAGGCAGGGGGCCTAAGCAGGGCAGCTCAAAACAATCCAGGAAGGACTGAGCATGCTCATCGGGAACAGAATGTTGAGTGGCTCTTGGGGAAGAAAAGGGAAAACCAGGGAGGGAGAATGGAACGACTGGAAGCATCAACAGGAAAACTTCATGCTGCAACATTTTGTTGCAACTTCCACTTGGCAAGTGTCTGGAACCCAGTATGGGTGCAGATATTTGTCGTGCTTCAAAAACTTTCAGGGATGATGACATGTTTGCATGAGGAAAGCGAGAATGCCACTCTTTTAACACGGTTGGCTTTCTGGAAATATCATCTCTTTTGCCAGCCTGAAAGCACTGTGTGTGTGTGTGTGTGTGTGTGTGTGTGTGTGTGTCTTTTAGAAGGGTTTGGAAGGGGTGGGGTGGGGAAGGAGAACTGAAAACCTTTCTACAAAATTGCACTTTTAATTACGCCTTCCACATGGGCTCTTTGCTTTAATAACACTGAAAATGAAGTAGCAAATCCTCTACTCCCAGGGTAAGCGTTCTTTGGAAAAAGATAATGAAATCTTTTAATACCCACAATGGGAAGCTCTGCCTTCCTGGGTCTTGTTGTGGACCAGAGGGCTGCACTTCAAGGCAATATTCACTAGGAGCTTACTGCTCCCTGTGCTTCAACTCACAGGTGACCCTTGGTCTAGGGTGGAAAGCACAGATGCCCTCTCCAGGAGAGGGGGTGGGGATGGATGGATGGATGGATGAGAAAGAGAGAGTGTGTCCCACCCACTTATTGGAAAATAGGCTAGTTTCTACACACCCTGGAATGAACAAAGTCTGCCGAATCAGTTACAAAATCTCTGAGTGGCACCTGAAAGTAGTTCCTATAACCAGGAGGGGAAGTGAATGAAAATTAAGTTCATTTTTGGAGTAGAACGTTGATCAATTTCTAGTTCATCTTCACGTTCATTCTCTTACATGTCTGTTTTACTCATTAGACTCTTTGTGCCTCAAACATAAAGATCATCAGTGTTGAGAAAAATAAATTAAACAATTCACAGTTTGCTTCATTTTGATGTTCTCTTAATCTTCCCAAATACATTATATTTTTCAGTGAAGAAGCTTGTAGCCGACTGAATTCAGGTGTAGTTTTGTTTTTGCCAAGCATCATAGAATCGTAGAATTGCAAAGTGAAGCCAAGGGTCATTTGGATTAACGTGAACTGAACTGTAAACAAACCAAATATTTTGTAATGGGATGGACATGAACCAGAATTGGTTCCTTTTTGAACAATGACGAACTAGCACTAGTTCCTTTTTTTTTAAAAGAACTTTCCAAGTGCTGACCAACCCTCTCTGATCTCCCTCCAGTCAAGCAAGAGTCAGGATTGGAGTTCAAGGACACATTCCAGTCAGGCAAAAAAAACATTTGGGATGGTGGTGTGAGGAGTGACACAGATGAGACTGTCAGGAGTGCATGCAGGAGCCAGGCCCTGTGACCAATAGGACTTTGCAGGACTGGGTCCTTCCTAAGTTCTGAAGAGGCAAGGCCTCACCACACAGGTGAGGCTGTTTGGTAACTCACTGCACTTGGTGGCAAGAGCCGGGAAGGGATGTAAGGTCAGCATTTCCCTTCGGCTCTTTGCCACAGCAACACGTTTCCTGCCTTGCTGTGTTTGGCTTCTTGCTTCCTTACCCTCAGACCTTGGCTTCTTGACTCCCTGCTTCTCGACCCTCGGACCCTTGACTTCATGACTCCTTGCTTCTCGACCCTCGGACCCTTGATTTCGTGACTCCTTGCTTCTTGATCCTTGGACCCTTGACTTTGTGACTCCTTGCTTCTCGATCCTCGGACCCCGGGCTTCTGGACTCTCATTCCTGCTCCCACCCCACCATCTTGCCCCTGGCCCCAACATCCTCAGCCGGGACTTCGATAGCCCATAGACTGGACCTTGACAGTGACTCCCAGGGGAAACATAGACAGTCCTTGAGCACTTTCTTTCAGCATCACTGGCTATTCCTCTGAGTCCTCCATCTCCAGCTGCTCAGCAGCCCTGCCCAGCTAAGATGCCCAAGCTCTCCCCCTCCCCAAACTGACTCTGGCCCATCCTTTTTTAAAACCCTAAATAGAGACGTCTCTGGCAGGTCTTTGCATCCTGGATAGCCCTCCACCAGCTCTGGCACGATTCACGTTTGGTCTCCTACCACACACTCGGCACGCTTAGCGCCTCCATTTGGAGCGCAATCAGGAATTAGTCTCGGTTTGTTGCCCTGCCGAGAAATAAATTTCCTGCCACCTCCAGATAAAGAGGCCTCGTTGAGAAGTAATCAGGAGCAGGAAGCTTGGAGACCGTGCTTTCGGATGACACCATTAGCTCGGCAGAGGCAATGGGAAGTTTGCTTATAATGCTAAGGACACCAGAGTCGGGAAACGCCTTTGTTTGTTTACTGATTATTATACCCTCCCAAGGCAGCTTACAATTAAAATCTGTACTAAGGCATGAAAGAGGGATATGCAGGCACAGTAGGCGTAGATGAATCCATCTATTTCTGGTGTATGTCATTTCCAAATATGTCTCAGTGGAGACTGGTGTATTGGATTTCCCCATGAAGTGGAAATACCTGTTAGGCTATTATTTGTGAGGCCAGGGTCATGTGCACAAGAACACGACACCTGATGTTAAGACTGGTAAGAATCAGTAAAAGGGAACATTAATAGTTGACTATTAAAGTGAAAAACAGATCCCTCTAAGGTACAAGGAGGGTTTTGACATATATAGGAGATAACAACAACAACAACAACTTCTTTATTATTTATACCCTGCCCATCAGGCTGGGCTTCCCCAGCCACTCTAGGCGGCTCCCAACAGAATTTTAAAAACAGAATAAAACTTCAAACATTAAAAACTTCCCTAAACAGGGCTGCCTTCAGATGTCTTCTGAAAGTCAGATAGTTGTTTATTTCCTTGACATCTGATGGGAGGGCATTCCACAGAGTGGGCACCACTACCAAAAGGCCCTCTGCCTGGTTCCCTGTAGCCTCACTTCTTGCTGTGAGGAAACCGCCAGAAGGCCCTCAGAGCTGGACCTCAGTGTCTGGGCTGAACGATGGGGGTGGAGACGCTCCTTCAGGTCTACTGGGCCGAGGGCTTTAAAGGTCAGCACCAACACTTTGAATTGTGCTTAGAAACATACTGGGAGCCAGTGTGGATCTTTCAGGACCGGCGTTATATGGTCTCAGCGGCCACTCCCAGTCACCATTCTGGCTGCCGCATTCTGGATTAGTTATTGTTTTCAGGTCACCTTCAAAGGTAGCCCCACGTAGAGTACATTGCAGTAGTCTAAGCGGGAGATAACCAGAGCATGTACCACTCTGGCGAGACAGTCCGTGGGCAGGTAGGGTCTCAGTCTGCGTACCAGGTGGAACTGGTAGACCAATAAATGAGCTGAGTAATTTGTATTCCATGGAGAGTTGGGTAAGAGCTGGAATAGTATCAGGTGGTTTGGGTTTGATGCAGCAGAAAGATGACAAACCCCAAGGGAACTAAACCAAGGTAGGTAAACCTTTGGCTTGAGGGCCAAGTGGACCTGTCAGGTCTCTCTGTCTGGCTGCAGGGGCTCTCCCAGGCCATACAACCTCCTCAGTGACACCTCATTCCCCCCAGATCACACTGCTCTCCAGCTCCACTTTGCACCTTCCTTGAGTGTTTCCCCCACAAACTGGAATATATCCTTGAACTAATGCCTCTTCCTTGCATGGATGGAGGATAGAGAGCAGAGTGTGGGTAGAAACTACCCTACTGTAAAAGGTAAAATCCACACCCATTGCTCCACCCACCACTGGCATCAGGCCCTTGGAGAAGTTGTCCAGAAGGTGATGTGGCCCTGGGCTTGAAAAACATTCCCTGCTCCTGGTGTTATGTGTGCATGAGGCAATTTGAAAACATGTGTTGCTCAGGTACGCTGAAGTCCTAAAACCAAAGGCAGATCAAGCTCTCTGCACTTTGCAATAAGCTAAGCTATGGGGCCATAGCTCAGCGGTAGAGCTTCTGCCTTGCATGCAGAAGGTGCTAGGTTCAATCCCTGGTATCTCCAGGTAGGATCCGAAAGACTTAGCTCAGTTGGTAGAGCATGAGGCTCTTCATCTCAGGATCATGGGTTTGAGCACCACTTTGGGTAAAAATTTACAGGCGGCTGGACTAGAAGATGGTCCTTTCCAACTCTATGGCTCCTGCCTGAAATTTTTGGAGAGCTGCTACCAGTCAGTGTAGACAACACTCAACTAGATGGACCAATGGCCTGACCTGGTAACGAGGCCACTTCTCATGTTTCTTTCTTCATTTGGCTGGTACGACATTGAGATTTTATACACAAGCTCAGGCACAGACGCAAATGGAAAATCCCCCAACAGTAAATACATCAAATGTTAATCCCCTTTCATTGGAGCAGGAAGAGCAATTCAGCTTTAGTAACTGGAGTTAATTTCCACTCGACTTTCCTCTCCTCTGAAGCATTATCTTTTTCATTTGCCATCAGCAGCGATGCTGTGGGCTGAATTTTTGTCAAGATGCAAGAGGAGCTCGGAGCTGTCTCCCCTGCTCGCTCCATCTTTCTAGCAGCCATTTAGGGATGGCAGTGAAGGTCCCTGATCAGAAAGCACATGTCTTTGGCTTTGGTCAGTTATGCTCTGGAAACCATTTTTCTTTGCTTGTGGAACCAAAGACCATTTCAGGGCTCAGGCCAGTATTTGTGTGGTGCTGTAACTGCAGGAGCGGGGAGTCACAGTGTCACGGTCTGGTTCATGGGCAATCAAAGTCCCGGCTGGGGATGTCAGGACCGGGGGCAAGATGGTGGGGTGGGAGCAGGAATGGGAGTCCAGAAGCCAGGAGTCAGGAAGCCAAGAGTCCGAGGGTCAGAGAGCCGGGAGTCAAGAAGCCAAGGGTCCGAGGGTCAGGAAGCAAGGAGTTACAAAGTCAGGGGGTCTGAAGATCAGGAAGCAAGGAGTCAAGGAACCAAACGCAGCAAGGCAGGGAATGTGTTGCTGTAGCAAAGAGCCAAAGGGAAACACTGACCTTATATCCCTCCCCAACTCTTGCCACCAGGTGCTGTGAGTTACCAATCGGCTCACCTGTGCGGCCGTGCCTTGCTTCTTCAGAACAAACTTAGGAAGCCCCCAAGCCTGCAAAGTCCTACTGGTCACAGGGCCTGGCTCCTGCACGTACTCCTGACACACAGGCTATGGAGGAGAAATGTAGCCCTCCATACATTTCTGTCTGGCCCTCTGAATTCTCCCCAGGCCAAACCCCTTCTTCCTACACGTCTCACTGGCCTACACTTCCTTGAGTGTTTTTGCCTTGCTGGAAGGAGTCCTTGAGTACTGATAGGTGCCAAACGAATTGCCTTGCTTTCCTTAGAACCACATCAGTGAGGCTGAGAGGGGAGTCTTGTCATCTGGGCAGCACAGGACCTCCAGACACTTTGCCTGGGCTTGCGTCCCGGAGAGGTTACTTCAGAGCTGCATAAACATACCAAAAACCACACCGGAAACAGCAGTTATGAGTTACCAGTCTCTGCGGCCACAGCAGGCGCTGCGATTCTCCAGTGATTTGACTTCACCCCCGGAGGCGCACTCCATTGTCTCTCGAGGCAGACGGATGCCGAGAAAAAACCCTGGTGTCCCCCAGCTGCCACCACAAAAAGCTCTTGTGTTTTTTATTTGGAAAATCCTGCTGTTGGGAAGAATTTCAGTTTTAGGAATCAATCTTCCAAACATCTATTCAACAAAGTAGAAATACCCCTCACACAAAAAAAGCAAGGAGGTTTTGCAAGGGTGAAATAATATCTCAATGAGCAAGATGAGAAGCCCTGTGAACTTTAGATATGCCCTGCACTGCTTGCAATTTAAAAGTCAAGCTACCAGCATGACTAAATTGCATGTTCTTGGGGGGAAATTTTTCAATTTCCAAATGCACTCCCCTGCTGCGTTTTGTGATGCACAACAGACTTTGACTCAAAAAGCCAAATTCATTGCTTCCTTGCAGGAGAGGCAATAAAACAGGCCCGGTTGCTCATTCTGACACTCGGATGTTCCATTATTCATGGAGAGCTTTTTGTTCTACGTCTTTGCAACCCGTTATCTTTAACTTGATTTGCAAAGCGGGGGCTTTCTTCTCTTTTGGGGGGCAGAGGCGGTACTGTACCTCACAGTCCCATCTTGATGAGACCTTCATTTCGAGTCTCTTGCCGCAGCAGGAGTTTTCCTGATTATTCTGCTGTAATTGAAATTGTGTCTTGAAAAGTCTCGGAAATGCCCTTTTCATGTATTATATTGACAGCGATCTTATTAAGACGTTAGATCAGCTCCTTCTTCGTTTAAAGGGGGTGGGAGTGATATTCAAGATTTTTTATTTTTTATTTTTTAAAAAAAATCTTGCTGGAGAAACCGCACGTCGTAATTACAGCTTCTTTTGCATTATTTAACTTGCTGTCAAACCCCGGAGATTTGATGAGAGCACGTGTCAAAATAAGGCTCGGTTGTGTTTCCTGGTGAAGCTGAGATTCCTGAGCATAAAAACTTCCCATGGAACTCTAGTTGGCTCCACATCCCACAAGGGTGAGATAGGAGCTGAGCATCGCCTGCATGTAGCACCCGAACAGCAGAATCACTGAGTTCCATAATATGAGTCTCTCCGACAGCTTATGTTATCCTCCAATACAAACTGAGAAAGTCCCAAATGTTTGTCTTCAGCCTGGATTTTGATATTGGGAATGGGAATATCAGGCCCAGGGACTGATTTCAACCTTCTAGGTCTGAGAAAATAGGGGGATAGTGCACGGCTGTAGTAGCTATGTGAAATGGATGGTGATTGTATGGATTTTGTGTACATTGAAACACTGTACAGTGGTGCCTCGCAAGACGAAAATAATCCGTTCGGCGAGTCTCTTCATCTAGCGGTTTTTTCGTCTTGCGAAGCAACCCTATTAGCGGCTTAGCGGCTTAGCGCTATTAGCGGTTTAGCGGCTTAGCGGCTATTAAAGGCTTAGCGGCTTAGCGGCTAAAAGGCTATTAGCGGCTTAGCAGCTTAGAAAAAGGGGGGGGAGCGAAAAAAATCGCAAGACTCGCAAGACGTTTTCGTCTTGCGAAGCAAGCCCATAGGGAAATTTGTCTTGCGAAGCAACTCAAAAACGGAAAACCCTTTCGTCTAGCGGGTTTTTCGTCTTGCGAGGCATTCATCTTGCAGGGCACCACTGTATTACTCTTCCTTGTCATGGTTTCTGATTTTATTTATTTTTTATATTATGTTTATGGATCTTGTTTTGTGTGTTTTTGTCATGCGAACCATTTGCCACGGTTTTATTGTAGTTATTATGTGTGCATTCATGCAGGTCTTTATCCATTGTGTGCTGAATGACGCCGCCCTTGGGCCACCCCACCTTGCTCCACCCCTGGCAGCAGCACATCTACTTGGCATGCCAAAGGTCCATGCTTCAACCCATGGCATCTCCTGGGTAGGGCAGGAATAGGCACATGCCTGAAGCCCTGGACAGCTGCTGCCAATTGGTGAAGACATTGCTGAGTTTGAGGAATGAGAAGTCTGACTCTGGATAAGGCACCTTCCAATGCAATTCTGCCCCTTTGAATCCTACGGGCCCATGCCTGAGGAGCGGGGCACAATCAGAAACAGTCATTTGGTTTTTCAGCTTTGTAGAAAAGCTTCCCTTGCTGGTCTCGGGAGCCGTCCTGAAGTCCTCCGGCTTGCCAATCTCTGCTGCCTGCTGCTAATGGCTTTGTACTCTAGGCTGGAGTCTGTGGACCTTGTCCATCCTCCCTCAGGTTCTCTGATCCTGGCTGGAGAGGTACAAGAGGCAGGGGCAGATAACCCACGTAGGCACTCGCCTGGGCTCCCATCCCTTCGTTTGTGAGACCACAACTGATCAATAAAAGCAATAAAGCCTCCCCTTGCTGCTGCCAGAATATGAGAATATGAATATGAGAATGACAGCGTTGCTTCCTCCCCCTTTCCAAAGCTTAGAAGGAAGGCAGAAGCACTTACACATCCCCAGCAATTTAAAAGTTCCGTGTTGAGCGGGAGGGCTGGATAGAGTGGCGAACTTCTTCTTGATTGCCTGTAGAAAACAAGGCATCGTTGTTTTGGCCTGATGCCTGAAAATTGGCTAACAGACCTAAAAGACTCCTGTGCCTCAGAGCTCTTGACCAGATTGCCTGGAACATCTCACAGTTGACAGGTTCAACAAAGGGGTTGGGTGGGAGGCATGTTCACAGGGCCGTCTTTACCCAGGGGTGCAAGGGGTGCTGAATTCTGGGGGGCGCCAGGCACCCACTGCTGAAGCCGCCTAAGCTCTTAACTATCTACCTCCGGGATGTCCAACCGGTCGACTGCGATCGCTGGGTCATTTCTGTTCTCTTTTGCAGAAGAGCTGCAGAATCAATGTATCCGGTGGCGACCTGTAGTGGTGTCTTTCATTTTCGCATGATCGCAAAAATGGAAGACGGAGTCTTCACTGCAGCTTTTTATTTTTTCCATGTCAGTGATTTTCACTTCTCCCCTCCTTAAAAGCTCAACAACTTTGACCCCCCCCCCGGATCTTTGCACCCCGATGGCGTATATGCTAAAGACGACTCTGCTTGTTCAGCCATGTAATGAGCAGGGACTGACATCTTCTGTACTTGTCCCATTGCGCCGCACGCTTAACACCCTGATAAACAACAGTGTGGTGTATTGGTTAGAGTGCTGAACAAAGGACAGGGATTGGAACCTCAGGCCTAGAGGTCAAATGTGGACTTACAGGCTTCTTTATCCTGAAACACCTTCATTCGCTCCCAGTACATTTCCGAGCACAATTCAAAGTGTTGGTACTGACCTTTAAAGCCTTAAATGGCTTTGGCCCATTGTACCTGAAGGAGCGTCTCCACCCCCATTGTTCCACTCGGACACTGAGGTCCAGCGCCGAGGGCTTTCTGGCAGTTCCCTTACTGCAAGAAGTGAGGTTACAGGGAACCAGGCAGAGGGCTTCCTTTGTTTGGCGCCCACCCTGTGGAACGCCCTCCCATCAGATGTCAAGGAAATAAACAA